CTAAAATTACAGTTTCCAAAAGGCCGAAAATAGGCTGAGATACGGCCTATATACGCCGATATACAGTGGCGTACGTTGATATACAAGTCACAAATTGCAGGGATACATGCCCGAAGGCAAAAATACAAATCAAAGCTGATATGCAGGGGTAATACAGGAAAACAAGCCTAAAATATGGCTCGTATACAAGGGTATACCTAAAGTGTATACACATATTTCTTGAAGGCAAATGGGGCCCAAAGCCTAAGGAAAATTCAGCAGGCCCAAGATTTGGAGGATTTGGGCCAGAGGCCCAAATTTGATATTCCCTTTTCTTCTCTTACTCATTTTATTGTATTTAACTAACACTCTAATTATCTTATGGTTTAATTTAATTAAATTCCCCAAGAATGGTCATTCCATTTTATTTTCGAATTAAAGTATATATATTTTATTAATTTTTTTTTTTATTTAAAAATTAGTCTTGTTGACATTTTAGGAACTATTTCCCCTTAGAAAATTTTTCTTTAGTTCGTTCCCCCTTAAGATAAGAAAATGATAGAAATAGTAGTAGTAATAAAATAATAAGTCAAAATAAATGAGTTATTTACTTAGCTAAAATTTCAAAAAAAAATTAGTTAAAATAAATGAGTTCTTTACCTACTTATAATTTCAAAAATTAATCAAAATAAATGAGTTCTTTTACTCAGTCAAATTTTCAAAATTAGTCAAAGTCATGATGATTTTTTTTACTTAAGTTAAAATTTCAAAATTAGTCAAAATCATTTTGGTCAAATCGCCGGTCAACCGCAAGTTAGCGGGCAATCCGAGGGCCTAACACCTTCTCGGAATGTATATTGAACTTCGAACCCGTTCTCAATTGATTTTATCTGTTTAAATCTTTTGAAAACCTTAAGTATTTTTTCTTGATTTTTTGCTAAAAATTAAGTGGCGACTCTGTCCTTTTGGAAACCCGATTTCTCTTAAACCATAAGTTTAATTGATTTTTCGAGAATTAAGTCATTTTTCCTTGTATATATCTTTTTTAAATAAAACACTGAGCTCTACCCCTAAGCTGTCGTGCTCACCTACCACAACAAGCGTGACAACTTTATAACTGTTGTCCATTCACTTTTCCTGAACGATAGACACTCGGGGGATCTATATAAACTTTGACAAATATTTTACGATGTATTTTTTCATCATATTGATATGCAAAAAATACGATTTATAGTACTTTTCGTATAGTCACTAAAAGAAATGTGATTTTTTGTGAAAACTTTTAGTGGCGACACATATAGGTGCCACAAAATAGGAGCTTTTGGGGCGACTTAAAATGGTTGCTGCAGAAGGTGATAGATTTAGTGGCGACCTTAAGAGTCGCCATTACATATGACATTTCTAGTGGCGACAATCCATAAGTGGTCACAAATATGAAATAATTTTTCCAATAAAATATCAATGAGAAAAGTATTTATGACGACCTATAAGAAGTCGCTACAAAAGGTCTTTTGAAGCGACACTGTCGCCACTGAAGGTGGAGCTATTGTAGTAGCTTAAAGTCGTCACAAAATCCTTTATTTCATATTAATTATATAATTTTGTATATAATTCAAAATTTTCTTAATAAATGTAAAGAAGTAATCAAACCTATATTCGGTCCTTTATAAGTACTAAAATAAGTATTTATAGTAATTTCACACATATAAAAATATATTTTTAACAGGGTGAAAATCATTTACATTCCTCAATCTAAATAGATGATCACATAGGAATTTATTATAAAATATTTGTTTTTTATTAATTTTTTTGTATTCTCTTTATTAAAATATATTTTAAAAGTTATTATTACCTATTATTGAATAAACAAATGTTAGAGATCTGATTATTAATATTAAATAAGTATTCCAAACATTGAAACTATTTGCGCACAACAATAATAATAACTATATTTTAGAGACATCTATTTATTTTGATTGATTTTATTTTATAAAAAATGCATTATTAAATTCTTAATTTAGATAATTTTAAAAAATAAATAATTGGACGACCAAGTCGCCACTAAGGGTGTGCTGAAGGAAAACATTTTCCGAAAAATGTTTTCCAATTTTCTCATCTTTGGTTGGATTAAATGTTTTAGAAAATGTTTTCCAAATCAACTCATTTTCCTCAAATTTAAGGAAAATGACTTCCCTTCAAAACTTAAGGAAAATATTTTCCAAAACTCTCTTCCAACTTTAAATTACAATTATTTTTCTGTTGAAAAATTCAATTTATTTTGTCCCTACCCTCAAATCAGCCCCCAACCACCCCCCAACAAAAATAATAATAATTTTCCCTACCCTCAAATCAGCCCCCCACCCCCTTCAAAAGAAAAAAAAATTAAGTTTGTTTTTTAAAAAATATTTTCAACTTCAAATTTTCATTTTTTTATCCCGATCCTCGTCCACCCCCCCCCAAAATAAATTGAGTTTGTTTTTAAAAAATATTTTCAACTTCAAAATTTTCTTGTTTCACCCCTACACTCAACTCCCACCCCATCCCCTACCAGCCCCCCACCCCCCAAAAAAAATAATTTAAGTTTGTTTTTAAAAAATATTTTCAACTTCAAAATTTCATTTTTTCACCCCTACCCTCAACCCTCCCACCCACCCCCTACCCAGCCCCCCACCCACCCACCCACCCCCTACCAGCCCCTCACCCCCCAAAAAAAATTAAGTTTGTTTTTTAAAAAATATTTTCAACATCAAAATTTCATTTTTTCACTCCTACCCTCGACCCCCCCCCCCCCCCCATGCACCCCTACCAACCCCCCCACCTCCAAAAAATAATTTTAAGTTTGTTTTTTTAAAAAATTTTCAACTTCAAAATTTCATTTTTTTTCATCCCTACCCTCGACCTCCCCACCCACCCCCCAAAAAATAAATTTAAGTTTGTTTTTAAAAATATTTTCAATTTCAAAAATTATTTTCTACTCTAGTAAAAATAAAAGATATTTCTCAAAAACATTTTTCATTCATAAATCAAACACTAAAAATCTTTTTCGAAAAATATTTTCTACTTACCAACCAAACATGAGAAAATAAGTCAAAATCAACTTGTTTTCCAGGAAAACATTTTCCAGGAAAACATTTTCTAGGAAAACATTTTCCATGAAAAATATTTTCCTTCGTACCAAACACACCCTAAGAGTCATTTTCCCAAATATATTTGCCTAATTCTAGACGCGACCAAGTCGCCACTAAATATGTACTTCTTGTGACGACACTAATAACATTTAGTTATGGAAGTACTAGCCACGCCACGATCCTAATGTCGCCACTAAATGTTATTTGTGGCGACTTTGTGGACTTTTGTAACAACTTTTGGCGCCACAAAATGTAAGATTTCTTGTAGTGAGTTTTTGAATATCTGAATTTTTGTTTAAAATATCAAATTAATATAATCTAATTTAACATTAAAAATTAGTCAAATTGACTTCCAAAGAACGCAACGTGATAAAAAAAAGAAAAAAAAAGAAAGAGCGCAACGTAACAAATAATAGTGGACGAAGAGAGTACTAGTGAGCTCAATCATGCTTTGCGAGGATTAGAATTTTTCTAATAGTATAGTTGTAGAAAATTAAAACTAAACACAACCAAATGAAATTTTAAAATGCACCTCGCTAACATATGACATTTTATCAAATTAAGCAAACTTTAGAGTTATTTATTCAAAACAATTTGTCTTCGTCACAATCTTAAGAATATTCGAGAAAAGTACTACTCCCGCTGTCCCTATTTATTTTTCAAATATTTTTTAATTTGATGTTCCTTTTTACTTGTTATTTTTGACAAATCAAGGAAGAAAAAAATTATTTTTCCTATTATACCCTCAATTTATTAACATTGAATTAATGTTTTTAAAAAATGTAATGAGTAAATATGTTTGAGATCATATCAATTAATAAATGTAAAATGGTAAACTCATTATACCAATTATTATTTTCTTAATAAGTGTGTCAAATCAAAATTTGACAAGTAAATAGGAACGGTGAGAGTAATACTTCCGTTTGAAAATATACATATGCAAGAGAATTGAATTTATATAAATGCAAAAGGAATCAAAATTAAATCAAATCCTCTCAAAAGTCCTACTCGATTAAGTGCCAAAACAAGTCATTCTAATTAAATAAAATGATACCTATAAAAGCTTGATATAATTTATTTGTTAGGCAGCCAGAATTAGTTAGGCAAAAAAGCTATTAATCAATGTGCAAACGCTCTTCAATATATTTCATGCTTTTAACGGCTAATTAATTAGAATTTTACCTTACTTTATTGGAATTTCATGAGAAACTTATAACTTTTGTGCAAGCAAAATACTCCCTCTATTCTATATTAATTGGATTTCCAGGGTTTTTTCTCTATTATTTAAAATAATTGAATTGTTCAAAGTTCAAGATGGATGTTTGGATTTTTTTCTTCATCTTAGCCCTTTCCTTTAATGAAGTTTGATATTTTTTAGGAAATAAGCTGTACTATTTACAAAGTTACATTTATGATAGAAAGTAAGATTTAAATTATGTCATTGAATGTTTTCTAAATAAGTGTGCATTGGTTCACGAATTCAGTTAATATGAAATAGAGGGAGTATTAAACGATGATCTGAATCCAAGTTGGAGAGGATTTTAATGGATCAATTACTAGGATTTACTAATGTTTTTAGAAAATTAAGTAAATCTTGATGACCAGATACTTATCACTACAACTAAAATAACTTTTATGGAGCTAAAATCTTTACCGGCCTTAGTTAATTTCCATTAGATCCAATGTTGCTATAAGTTTTAACGACATTTATAAAGAATGGTAAAATGTAATTGTAATCGCAACACATTTAGTGACATTGCCTTAAGTTTTGTTGGCGAGGTAGCAGACGAAATTCATTCTTCAATTAATGCAACACTAAATTGAAGAATATATATATATATATATATATTACTGCATAAAAGTATATTTGCATAGTTTTTAGGCTGCTGCACCATGAATAAATTCTTCAAAACCTCGAATATTGCACTAAGGTTGTTTAACCGATCAGTCCAATTACACGCACCCACTCAGAGGGTCCAGCAACTTGCTGGGAGTATTGAATCAACGGATGAGTCCCGAAGATTATTGGAGGGTCTTGTTACAAGTCCAGCAAATTATGTTCCATTGACACCTATAAGTTTTTTGGAGAGAGCAGCAGATGTTTTTCGCGATAGAACTACGGTTGTGTTTGGGTCTTGTGTGAAGTATACTTGGGAAGAGACACACTTTAGGGGTGTGTTTGGTATGAAGGAAAACATTTTCCGAAAAATGTTTTCCAATTTTCTCATGTTTGGTTGGGCTAAATGTTTTGGAAAATGTTTTCCAAATCAACTCATTTTCCTCAATTTAAGGAAAATGACTTCCCTTCTAAACTTAAGGAAAACATTTTCCAAAACTCTCTTCCAACTTCAAATTACAATTATTTTTTTGTTGAAAAAATTAATTTATTTTGTCCCTACCCTCAAACCCCCCCACCCCCCCCCCCCCCCCCCAAAAAAAAATAAAATAATTTTAAAGCTTATTTTTAAATTCAATTTTTTTACCCCACCCTCACCCTTACCCCCACCCCCTCCCAAAAAAAATATTAAAAATTGTTTTTAAAATATATTTATAATTTCAATTTTTTATTTTTTTACCCCCCCCCCCCCCCCCCCAATCAACCCCCCTATCAGCCCCCAACCCCCTTCAAAAAGAAAAAAATTTAAGTTTATTTTTAAAAAATATTTTCAACTTCAAATTTTTATTTTTTCATCCCGATCCTCGATCACCCACTCCCCTCTCCGGTCACCCCCATCCCCCCCCAAAAAAAAAATTTGAGTTTGTTTTTGAAAAATATTTACAAATTCAAAATTTTATTTTTTCACCCTACCCTCGACCCCCCACCCACCTACCCCTACCCCCCCCCCCCCCCCCCCCCCCCCCCACAAAAAATTTAAGTTTGTTTTTTAAAAATATTTTTAATTTCAAAATATCATTTTTTCACCCCTAGAACCCCCACTCCCCACCCCAAAAAAATAAAAAATTTCAAGTTTGTTATTAAAAAATATTTTCAATTTCAAAATTTCATTTTTCACCCCTACCCTCGACCCCCACCCACCCAGCCCCCACCCCCCCACGCCCAAAAAAATTTTTAATTTTGTTTTTAAAATATATTTTCAACTTCAAAATTTTATTTTTGGCCTTGACCTCCCCACCCACCCCCCAAAAAAAATTTAAATTTGTTTTTAAAAAATATTTTCAACTTCAAAATTTCAATTTTTCACCCCTACCCAGTCCCCCTCCACCCCACCCAACCCCTACCAGCACCCCCCCCCCCCCCCCCCCACGCCCAAAAAAAAATTTAATTTTGTTTTTAAAATATATTTTCAACTTCAAAATTTTATTTTTTCACCCCAACCCTTGACCCCCCACCCACCCCTTACCACCCTCCCACCCCCTAAAAAAAATCAAGTTTGTTTTTAAAAACTATTTTCAATTTCAAAAATTATTTTCTACTCTAGTAAAAATAAAAGATATTTCTCAAAAATATTTTTCATTCATAAATCAAACACTAAAAATCTTTTCCGAAAAATCTTTTCTACTCACCAACCAAACATGAGAAAATAAGTCAAAAATCAACTTGTTTTCCGGGAAAACATTTTCTAGGAAAACATTTTCCATGGAAAACATTTTCCTTCATACCAAACACACCCTAGGTGTCTAAAACTTGCCTCTGCTTTAGTTCAACTTGGAATTTCACGGGGAGATGTGGTAATTAAAATTTTTCTTTTCTCAACAATTCATTTATTTTCTTGGTATAATTAAATTTGACAATTATTGCTGCAGGTTGCAACTCTGGCTCCGAATGTACCAGCAATGCATGAGTTGCATTTTGTAGTACCAATGGCTGGAGCTGTTCTATGTACGTTAAATACTCGTCTTGATTCATCAATGGTAGCTGATTTGCTCAAACATTCTGAAACCAAGATAATATTTGTTGATCAACAATTGCTCCAAATTGCTCAACAAGCACTACTTAACCTTCTTTCAAAAGACAAAACAATTAAACCACCAATTCTTATATTAATACCCGAATCCAACAATTCATCTCCTCTCGTACTTGATGTATCTAACATTCACGAATATGAAAATCTGTTGACTAGTGGGAGTAGCAATTTTACAATAAGGTGGCCAAAAACTGAAATGGATCCTATTAGTGTTAATTATACTTCTGACACAACGTCATCACCTAAAGGAGTTGGGTACAATCACAGAGGTTCATATCTTAATACTATTGCTACTTTTCTCTGTCATGGCATGGGTCCGATGCCAACGTACCTTTGGACACTTCCAATGTTTCACTGCAATGGATGGTGCATGATTTGGGGAATGGCTGCACTTGGTGGCACAAATGTTTGCCTTAGACATGTCTCCGCGAAAAATATATTTAAAAATATTTCTATCAACAAGGTCACACATATGAGTGCAGCACCAATTGTCTTGAGTATGATGGCAAATTCTTCACCAAATGACAGGAAGCCACTTCCCCATAAGGTCGAAATAATGACAGGCGGATCACCACCGCCTCCACAAATTCTTTCCAAAATGGAGCAACTCGGATTTGGAGTATCCCATGGATATGGACTAACAGAAACTTATAGTGCTGCTACGAGTTGCTTGTGGAAGCCTGAGTGGGATTCTTTGCCCCTTGAAGAACGAGCCATGCTTAAATCAAGACAAGGGGTGCAAAGTCTTTGTATTGAAAAAGTAGACGTTATAGACCCTGATACCATGGAAAATGTGCCAGCTGATGGAAAAAGCATTGGTGAGATTGTGTGCAGAGGGAATACTGTGATGAGTGGATATTTGAAAGATGTTAAAGCAACTAAAGAAGCTTTTAAAGGCGGATGGTTTCATACTGGTGATGTTGCAGTGAAACATCCAGATGGGTATATAGAAATTAGGGCTAACCCATCGGTGGCCCCCTAAACTTGGCACGATCTTTCACTTAGACACCTCAATTGAAGGATTTTCATTTTAAACACCTAACGTAGGGTTCCCATGTGTTACTTTAACACTTTTTACACAGACATCTGTTGACCATAAGCGCGTGCAAGACAACCGTTCTACGTGGATTAACTGACCAATTATATGATGCCAACTCTTAAACCTCTTTACACGTCGTTTTTTTTCAAACTAAAAGAAAAATGGAACCATTTTTGTTATTTTTCAACTTCCTTCTTACGATTCTCTCTCTTCTCCGAGAAAACCCTAGGTAAATCTCCCTTCTCGTCACATGTATTTCTTTGTTTTTTCTTCAATTCGTTGTTAGTAATAACCATTGTTGTATTTTATGTCGCCATTTTTCAGGTTTAAGGTTGTATTGACGAGGTATCGGGCTGTGCGACATTGGAGAAATTGAAGAAATTAAAGGTAATGGTGTATTTTGTTTTCTACCTTTGTTTTTGTTTTCTTCAAGAAGGTGTATATTGTTGTTGATTCCACTTTTTTTATTTTCAGTTTTAATATAGGTTTTGGCTGGTAAAGTAAGGGGCTTTTTGGGTATTTCCTTTTATTGGGGTCTTCTTTTCGAGATATGGAAAACTATATTTTAACTTGTTTTCATCATGGGGGGTGTGTTGTTGGAAACCCTAACCCTACTTACCAACGAGAAGTAGATGTATTTGGTGTTGGCATAGATAAAGACCATTTTAGTCTTGTCGAGTTTCTTTCCTACACTAAAGACCTTGGGTATACAAATGTGAAGGGATTTTACTGTGAAGATAACAATGAATTAGTTCAAGTTACTTCTGATACTCAATTGTTAGAATTTGTGAAAGACTTGGTAGATGGTGATGAGTTTCATGTGTATGTGGTCCATGAAGTTGATGAATTGGAAGAATTGCCTGCTCCAAATGGTCTTTTACCATGGTTTGATACTGTTGATGAATCTGTGGGTATAAATACTGAGGGAACTGTGGAGAATGATTCTGATTTGAATGGAGTTGATACAGAACTGCCTAGAGGTAATACAAATCAAAATGAAGCTGAATCAGATCTGCCTAGTAGTGACACAGATGTAGATGTTATTCCAGATGAAGATGATTCAGATGTTGATGAAGAATTGAGATCCCTTAGGGCTGAAAGGAGAAACATAAGAAATCCTAATCTTAGGAAGAAAAGAGATAGGGAGAAGAAAACAATAACTAAAGAGGTACCAATAGGTGAGGCTGGTGTGGATAGAGGTTTTGAAGATATTGGAATAAATAAAAAGGATAGATATGTTGGCAGATTGGGAGGAGATGAGAAGTATATTGATAGCTCAGAATGTGATAGTGATGATAGCACTGATATACTAGATGCAGAAGCTGTTGGAGGTGTTGATCTACCAGGCAGAAGAAAGAGCAAAAAGGTCAGGTATGATGATCAATGTACTGTTGCTATTTTTGAACTTGGAATGATTTTTGAGAATGCTAAGGAATTTAGAAAGGCTTTGGCAAAATATGCTGTTGAAAAAAATTATCAGATTAAGTTAAGGCCTAATGAAGCTCATAAAGTGAGAGCTAAATGTAAATTCAAAGAAAAATGCAAATGGTTGTGCTATGGTGCTATTGATAGGGATTCTGGTAACTTTATGATTAAAAAATATTATCCTATACACAAATGTTTACCTTCAAATAAGAGCAAAATGTGTACAACTAAGTTCCTAGCAAGTAGATTCAAGGATGAAATAACTAAACAACCATCTTTGATGATTTGGGAAATACAAGAGTTGTGCAGGGAGGAGTTAGGACTAAAAGTGGGTAGAACAATTTGTTACAAAGCAAATATGATGATTCTTAGAGAAAACATGGGTGACTGGAATATGGAATTTGCAAGGTTATATGATTATGCTGAAGTCATAAAACAAACCAATCCTGGTAGTTCTGTTTGGGTAAGGATGGATAGAGAAACTGTACCAGGAAAGAATTTGTTTGTGTATTTCTATGTATGCTTGGATGCATTGAAGAAAGGGTGGAAGGAAGGATGTAGAAGAATAATAGGATTTGATGGATGTTTCTTAAAGGGTGCTTGTAAGGGTGAACTTCTTGTAGCAGTTGGAAGAAATGGAAACAATTAGATGTTTCCTATAGCCTGGGCAGTTGTGGACAAGGAGACTAAACATAGTTGGAGTTTCTTTATCAACTACTTGAAAGAGGACCTGCAGTTGGGTACTGGACAGGGTCTTACTGTAATGTCAGATATGTAGAAGGTAATTGTCTATTACTTTGATAATTGTAGATATATAGAAATGTATTTTCTTTCTTGAATTGTATTGAATTCTATTTTATTATAGGGTCTTCAAGCAGCTGTTGGTGAACTGCTGCCAAATGCTGAAGTTAGAATGTGTGCTAGACACATCTGGTCTAATTGGAGTAAAAGATGGAAGGGAGAGGAAAGGAGAAAACAATTCTGGAGATGTTCGAAGGCAACTTTTGAAGTGAAGTACAGTGAGGAGCTTTACAAAATGAGCAGACTTGGTAATGAAATTAATGATGATTTATTGCATTATCCACAAGTGTCATGGGTTCGAGCATTCTTTCAAGAGCATTCCAAATGTGATGCAGTTGAAAATAACATGTGTGAAACCTTTAACTCATGGATCTTATCATGTAGACACAAATCTATAATAACCATGTTGGAGGAAATTAGGAGAAAATTAATGACTAGAACTGTGGATATGGTTAAGTTTGCTGACACATGGATATGTGATATTGCACCTATGGCTAGACTTATGTTGGAGGAGAATAAGGAAAAGTCTAGGGCATGCAAGGTGCTGTGGAATGCTGATGTTGGATTTGAGATTGGAGAAGGGCAGTATAGGCATACAGTCAACTTGACTAATAGAGTTTGTAGCTGTAGAACTTGGCAATTGAGAGGTATTCCTTGCCAACATGCTATTTCTGCTTTGTATCATATAGAACAGGAACCTGAACCACTTGTGGAGCATTGGTATAGGAAGGATACATTCTTAAAGGCTTATAGTCATTTTATTCAACCAATTTCAAATATGAAGATGTGGCCTGAAACTAACAATCCAAGGATTGAGCCTCCTGAACCTAAGCAAATGTTGGTAGACCTCCAAGAAATAGAAGAAAGAGTAAAGATGAATCAAGAAAGAAGTATGGAAAGATGTCCAAACAAGGGTTGAAAATTACTTGTTCCAAGTGTAAACAACAAGGCCACAACAAGAAATATTGCAAGGTAAAATAACTTATTATTTGTTTGTGCCTTTTAAAAATTCTTCTTGAATGTAATGAACAAACTTTATGTTTGATATTTAGGTTGGTGTCCATACTTCACAACCAGCTAGCCACAGTTCACAATTTACTGCTGGTCAAAGTTCACAAGGAAGTTGCCATCCTGAACCAACAAGCTCCTTCCAACCTGGACCAACAAGATTCAACCAACCTGCTTCAACAACATCAAACAGTCATGCTTCTTCAACAACAGTTTGTGGTGATACCAGTAGAGTTAAGAGGGCAAGGGAAACTGCAAAAACAAGCCAACCACCACCATTTGTGGATACAAGTATTCCTGTTACAAGAGGAATAACCAGTCAACTACCTACAAAGACAAGACAAACTGCTAGACAAAAAAGAGGAAGAGTTGCAACTGGTGAAGATTCTACAAGAGAGGGGCCAACTAATGGTGGATCAAGTAATGTTGGATTTGGCATCTACACAAGTGCAAGTGGAACCCAAATGCTAAACGTAAGTTTGTCACAAACTGTCTCTGAAATGAATGCAAGTTTATATATTAATTTTGGTTTTTTCTTCAAAAAACAGCCTGGGACTTCAAGTCAAAGGATTCTACCAACAGGTTTAAGTTATAAGGATGCAAGTTTAACGGGTATAGACCTTGGTTTTAAGCCTAGAGGCTTGAGATGGAAAAACAAGGATGCTGTCACCACTTCCCAATTGCAGCAAATGACAAACAAAAAGAAGAAGTAGCATCAACTTAGAATAGGTTGATTTTGGGCCCTTATTTTGGTACTAGTAAACACTTTTGTGAAGGTTGTATGTAGCTTTTGATTATGCTAACTTTATTTTGGGGACCTTATTTTGGTACACTTTTTTTGAAGGTTGTAGCCTTGAATGGTATGCAGCATAATGCTAACTTTGAGCTCATTATGGAGCATGCAAATATAACTGTTTATGTTTTATGTAATTTGGGTGTTACATTGTGACGAATATGGCCAATTGTATGTGTAATTTGGCTATTTGATTTTGGTGTTAGTGAGAACGAATTTGAGATTTGTATGTAGCCAAAAAACCAATTTTACTGCAACAACAACATAGAATTTCATTGAATCCAAAATGCACATTTACATCGAAAATTTACAGCAACAACAACATCAAAATACTACTAGATCGAACACCAAATACAACATCAAAATACTACTAGATCGAACACCTCAAGAACACTAACAATTAGGCTTCAATTTCCATATTCCAAATATCAGCAACCCAGTAGCAACGACACCAACAATAAATATATTTTTTGCTCGGTTTAATTTTTCATCAAAAGCATTGACTTTCTTCAACAATCCCCACATTACCCTATTTGCTTGTGGAGGGTATCGATCTTCATACCAAAGAAAATAGTCACAACCACCCATTTTCTATAAAACCAATCAAAAAGAATTAGATGCTAACAATTAATCATCTAATTGACTTGAAAAAAATAAGCGAACAAAGAATTTTACCTTTGAAATTCTACAAGTAAAAAATCTACGCCCTGGATTTAATTGGGTCCATGAAGTCTTTAATAGTGCTTCATTACCACACCTACAATATCGACCTTCATCCACAGATGCCATGGAAGAATTGGAGAAGCTCGACATGAAATTATTAAGGGCCAAGAATTAAAGAAAGGCTGAAGAAGAGAGAAATTGGAAAAGAATAGACAAATTGGGGTCTTAGTTATGGTACAATTGGAGAAAAAATAATATAAATAGATGATATGGAGTAATATTACCGTTGGGGACGCCACATCAGACGAAATTTTGATGTTTACGCGCCTTGAATGAGTGAAAATCACGCGACACTCCACCTGTGCAAAAAGTGTTAAAGTAACACATGGGAACCCTACGTTAGGTGTTTAAAATGAAAATCCTTCAGTTGAGGTGTCTAAGTGAAAGATCGTGCCAAGTTTAGGGGGCCACCGATGGGTTAGCCCTAGAAATTAAGGATCGGCTGAAGGATATTATAATTTCTGGAGGTGAAAACATAAGCACACTCGAAATGGAAGGAGTTTTACATAGTCACCCAGCAGTTGTTGAGGCAGCAGTAGTCGCACGACCAGATGATCATTGGGGACAAACACCTTGTGCATTCGTGAAGCTGAAAGAAGGATCTAAACAAATAACTTCAGATGAAATAATCAATTATTGTAGGGATCATTTGCCACATTACATGACTCCTGGAGCAGTCGTTTTTGAAGATTTACCAAAAACTTCAACTGGCAAGGTACAAAAATTCATCTTGAGAGAGAAAGCAAAAGCTTTGGGCAGTCTTTTCAACCCTGAAAGAAAAGTGTAATAAGTTGTTTGCATAAAAATCCTCAACACTCCAAAAGTACTCAAAATAAATCAATTCAAACCTGCTCTATAAATAAATGTATTATGTTTCAAACGCTATGTATGAAGCATTAGTTTGCGAAATATTGATTTCTTCTGGGTGCGGTTATTTGCCAAGAAATTATCATGAATGAATGTTAATGTTTCTTATACGCCTTTATCAAGCTTGGGTAAAAATACCTACACACCTAAAAGTCTTTTTCCGGCTAAAGACGACTAATGATAATTGCCTTAGATCGCCTCTGTACTTTCCAAAACGTTCTTGAATGATAATGGGTGGTGTTGGATTTTTTTTTATACATTTATAGCGACTTACCCCCGCGTAACAGTGTGTCTTCCTCTGCATATTTTTGTTTATTGTAGCTTGGGTTCTGTTTGCCCTCCTTTTCTTCTTGGTTGACAAAGTCAAATACAAGAACTATAAGGTTTCCATGTATATTTGCTACATTGATCTGTTTTGTTTGCTGTCGTTTGCTAATAATAGAGTCTGTTTGAATTGACTTATTTTAAGTGATTTTAAGCTAAATTAACTTTTAAGTATTTTTTTAGTGTTGAGTAGATTAAAAAAAATGCTTATAAAAATGATAAATTTGACACACATGCCTATCTCTGCTCGCCTCCCTCCCCCATCTCACTCGCCTCTCTCTATTTTAATGTATATATGTTGGAATACTAACTCCTAGATTTGCCTAAGGAACATGCATATTCTATATGTTCCTTTGCAGATTACATCAGTTACGTTATGTAAAGAAAATAAAGTAATGACACAATATTTTATCGTGGGAAACCCCAACCCATAAAGGGTAAAAAAACCACGACCTACACCTTTGTAGGATTTAACTCCACTTCATTAAATTTTGAGCCTCAACTAAAGATTACAAACCTATGTAACCTAAGGAATTATAAACTCCAATTCCTAGACGTCAACTACCAACTAGATCGTCGACCCCACTTCAAGTTATGAATTCAGATTACAACTCTTGCAATCCTAGGAACTAACTCTAATTCCTAAACTCCAACACAAACCCCCCAGGTTTATGTTCCCAAGTCTTTAAGTCACCCCAACTTGAAGACTCTATTCCTACTCCAGTTTATACTTCACTGGATCTAGAAAGAATCAAAGATACAACTCGATAAAAACTCAAAGGTTCTTCAATTCTTGTTTCCTTGCGTTGGCTGCACTTCATAATCGGAAATCACTCAAATATGAACTTCCTCTAGTTGATTGTATCCTACTTGTAATTCTCTGTTTAAGTGCGCAAGTTTCGTTGGAAGATCCTTGCTCTATTTATAGACTAAGTAGATCAAGAATTCTTTTCCTACTTCAACTCTGCTTCAACACATTTTTTAGTGATTCCTTATCCGTGTGGAATTTGGAAATTCTTGCAAACTGATTTTATGCATTATACACGTTTCCTCTTCCTTGAAGGAATTCTTTATGAAAGGAGACTTTTTGCACTAGCTAGTTTCTTGTTGAAAAAAGCAATCCTTCCACACTTTATAACTTCTAGTTCGCGTGGTGATGTTCTCCTTATCCCAAGTGGATTCGGTTTGAAAGGAACACGTAGACGCAACCTGCTCCTTTCATTTGTTTCCTTATTTGTCAATCATCAAAATCCTTCTCGATCTAACAATATAGTAGCAAAAATAAATGTATCTTCCTCAATATATGATAGAAAATTCTTAATTAGTGGTAAAATATATAATTATTTGTAAATATAGATAAAATTAGTATATATGGTATGAATGTATGTCTAGTAAGATAGTTTTTTCTACTCACAACCCAGCCCGGTAGTAGCTGACTTTTTAGGGGAGCCAGGTTGGCTCAGAGGCTTAATTATAAATTAAATATCTGCCATCTTCATCACAAGATCGAGTATAAGTATTTTCTTCACAATATTTATAGCGTGATCAACTTTTAAATAATTAATTATTCCTGTAGTGATGTTATGCTGCCCCACTAAACAAACATTTCCTCACGATCACCTCATTACTTCATCTATCTATCTATATATATAAATACTGCTGTTTAAGGCTTCTCTGTCTCTTGTCCTCTGCATTATATTCTACCATGAATAAATTCTTCAAAACCTCCAAAGTGGCTCTCAGGTTCTTTAATGGCGGCCTCAACCGAAGCAATTACGGAGTCCGCCAGCTGTCTCAATTTGCTGGTGACTTTGAAACTGAGTCCAGAAGATTACTGGAGGGTGTTGTTACTAATTCCGCTAATTATGTTCCATTGACACCAATAAGTTTCTTGGAGAGAGCAGCAGATGTTTATCGCCATAAAACTTCCGTTGTGTTTGGGTCTTGTGTGAAGTATACATGGGAAGAGACACACTCTAGGTGTCTCAAACTTGCTTCTGCTTTGGTTCAGCTAGGAATTTCAAGGGGAGATGTGGTAAGATTTCAGTTTTTCTAACATTTTGTTCAAATTCAAGATTTCTTTTCGTGATTGTATAATATAGATTTGAACAATTTTTGCAGGTTGCAGCTTTGGCTCCCAATGTACCAGCAATGCAGGAGCTACATTTCGCAGTACCAATGGCAGAAGCAGTTCTTTGTACACTAAACACTCGTCTTGATTCATCAATGGTAGCTCATTTACTGAAACATTCAGAAGCGAAGATAATATTTGTTGATCAACAATTGCTCCAAGTTGCTCAACAAGCACTCTCTCTTCTTTCAAAAGACAAAATTAAACCACCAATTCTTGTGCTAATACCTGAATATGAGAATTCCTATCCGACCAATGACATTCATGAATACGAAAATCTTTTATCAAGTGGGAGTAGCAATTTTACAATAAGATTGCCAAAAAGTGAATTTGATCCTATCAGTATCAATTATACTTCTGGCACAGTGTCGTCACCAAAAGGGGTTGTGTACAATCACAGAGGTGCATATCTCAATTCTATTTCTACTTTCCTCTGTCATGGTATGGGTCCGATGCCAACGTACCTTTGGACACTTCCAATGTTTCACTGCAATGGATGGTGCTTGATTTGGGGAATGGCTGCACTTGGTGGCACAAATGTTTGCCTTAGGAATGTCTCCGCAAAAAATATATTTGAAAGTATTTCTCTCAACAAGGTCACACATATGAGTGCAGCACCAATTGTCTTGAGTATGATGGCAAATTCTTCACCAAATGACAGGAAGCCACTTCCCCATAAGGTCGAAATAATGACAGGCGGATCACCACCGCCTCCACAAATTCTTTCCAAAATGGAGCAACTCGGATTTGGAGTATCCCATGGATATGGACTAACAGAAACTTATAGTTCTGCTACGACTTGCTTTTGGAAGCCTGAGTGGGATTCTTTGCCCCTTGAGGAACGAGCCGTGCTTAAATCCAGACAAGGGGTGCAACTTCTTTGTGTAGAAAAAGTTGACGTTAGAGACCCCGAGACCATGAAAAAGGTGCCTGCGGATGGAAAGAGCATCGGTGAGATTGTGTGCAGAGGAAATACTGTGATGAGTGGATATTTGAAAGATGCTAAAGCAACTGAAGAAGCTTTTAGAGGCGGATGGTTTCATAGTGGTGATCTTGCGGTGAAACATCCAGATGGGTACATAGAAATTAAGGATCGATTGAAGGACATTATAATTTCTGGAGGTGAAAATATAAGCACACTCGAAGTGGAGAGAGTATTATATAGTCATCCAGCAGTCGTCGAAGCAGCTGTGGTCGCACGACCAGATGATCAATGGGGACAAACACCTTGTGCATTCATAACACTAAAGGAAGGATTTAATGAAATTACTGAGCAAGAGATAATCAACTTCTGTAGAGATCATTTGCCTCGTTACATGGCACCTCGAACAGTCCTTTTTGAAGATTTACCAAAAACATCAACTGGCAAGGTACAAAAATTCATATTGAGGGAGAAAGCAAAAGCTTTGGGCAGTCTATTTTCCACTGAAAAGAGAAGTGCTGCAAGTTGTTAGCATATAATTAAATGTGTGTATATTTACTTTGGTTCTTCATTGTTTACTATTTCAACATTGCATATTCTATATCAAAAGCTATGTATGAAGCATTAAATTGTTTATTTTTTATGGAACACTGAATTGTTCACTTTAAAATATCTGGATTTTCTATGTAAATTGTTCGTTGTTTCAAACATTTCAATAACAACGTTTTTCTTGTAATGTTCCCTTTTTTTCCTTTCTTGAATAGTAAATGACCATTTCAATAGGTATACAAGAAAACCACAAAAGACAGAGAGGGAGCCTTTCTCTTTAGCAAAAGTGGCCAATTTTTCTACATTTTCTAGCAAAATCCTATATGCTCTGAATAGATATGAAGGTTATGGTCACAGTTAGATGTCTTGACGTAACAGTGGGCAAAACCATGACTGATCTGGGGAGATTTAAACGCCATACTATCCGTGCAAAGCAGACTGAATGGTGCACCAGTCACAACTATGAAACTTCAGGAGTTTTCTGATTATGTTCAACCAATGCAGCTGAATGAACTCAAATTGCCAAGGCGTGGTAACAATGATGTATGCTGAGTTTATACATGAAGTATATGGAGTGAGAGGAAAAAATGGATATTTGAGAAAGCTAAGAGTACAGGGTATGTGATAGCAATAAAAGTAGCAAATGTATGTTGTGTTCAAGCTTCTCCAAGAGGGAAAATTTTGCTAGATAGGTATAGATTTGTTGACTATGCATTCCTTCCTGGTACCACCTTTAATTTACGGTGGACCTGTCTCGATAACAATTTTCAATCTTCACCTAACAATTCATTGAATGGCTTTGATTACTCAACTTTTCTTATTAACTATCTGATGCACAAAATATTTGCATAGTTATTAGGCTGCTGCACCATGAATAAAATCTTCAAAAGCTCGAATATGTTACTGAGGTTCTTTAACCGATCAGTCCAATTACCCGCACGCAATCACAGGGTCCAGCAGTTGTGCAAACTTGCTGGGGGCATTGAAACGACAGATGAA